TTTGGTTTGGTTTTTTGCAAGGTTTAAAAAGAGTATGGGGATACCATTTCAGGATATAGTTTGATGTGATCAGATATCTAGATCATGGAAGTGCAAGCTGAAGTCTTTTTCTGAAAAAGAGTTTGAGAGCTGATACAAGATATCGTTTCATTAGTTGCCAGTAAATGCTCAAAGATAAAATTAAGAGATGTCATGTGTGGATTTGTTTTATAATTTACTTCAAGTCATTCCTCCTGACCATATTCAGTCCCAGCAAATAACATCAGAGGTTAGCTGATGATAGATAATTATAATATTTAGAATGATGTTGCTGAAGGTAAAATAAAGGTTATTAACTTTAAGAAGCTTACTGTAGTAGATAACTCAAAGCATTTTGAAAATGAGAACACTTTCAATTATGGATATGTTTGTATATTATGAATACATAATCTCATCGTGCATTCTTATTCAATCAAAACTGCCGTTGAAGTCAGTGTCTGAAGTTGTAGTATTTGGCCCATAAATTGGTTAATAAGAACGCTCATTATCAATCCATATCTGAATTGAAAAAGTTATCGATCTCTTTTCTTTAGGTATCTGATGTCCAAAGCAGCTGTGGATCACCAACTCCCTCTCTGTGTGAAAACAGTAGACTGGTGATGTCACACATACCACAGAACCCCGTTGCAGAATGGAGTAGGCCTATTAAGGGTAAGGTAAGTTTCCTCCTTCCACCACCACCCTTTTTCAACAATATTGCATGGTTTTATAAGATTTCTAATTTTCTTTATTTTATGTCCCTGGGATATGAAGTGAAGATTAAAGAAAATCTTATAAAACTGCATAATATTGTGGTGTTGTGTGTTTGTGTTTTATTTAAAACCAAAAAACTCCCCTATAAAATTCAGTCCTTACCCCATATATCCATATCCTGGCTCCAATCTGCTTTGGGGTTCCATGATGAATATGCCAGAATAGTGTATGTTGGGGCATCACGGAGAGTGGAGTCAGCATTTCCTGGCTGCTCTGGATGTCAGAAACCTTATTTTAAAAGGTAAGTTTTCAGTTGATATTGTGTTGAATGTCTCCTGTGTTTATATGGAAACATTCAGCACATTTCTAAACCACGTATTTAAATTTACTTGTAACTGAACATTCATATTTTATACTTGTCCTCTGTCTAGGTCTTTTTTCTCTTTTGTTCTGTTTTTAATACCTTACATTGTGTTTTCGGAAGAGAATAGTGTTTTGTTTGTCATGTGGAACAAGATGGTAACTACAAGTCAGATCCAAGGTATAGAAACAGTGGTACTGGGAATGCAAATTACAGACTATGTAGGAACATAACTCAGTACACACACAGATCAGATACTTGCTATTTCTATTTAAATAATCAGTTAGGAATGCAGGCTCATATCAAACTTAGAATTAGCTCAAGTAGATTGAAGAGGAACAGTTTCTTCGTGGTTCTATTAAGAGCAAGTTCTTCAGTGATAGACCGTTTTTACCTCTGAAGTACTGTTCTGGGTTGATGTAGTTGGATAATTTTAGTTCGTATCTACTAATAAGATGCTGCTGGATTTCATAAACACCAGAAGGCAGTGCATCCAGACCTCCATTTCTACAGACCTCTTGTTGATGAGAGGACTGAACTATGGGGCTGTAATAGCTATTTCTTTGTACTAACCCTCACATTCCACTAAACCACTCCTCGTGGAGTTTTCTGAACAGCTATATTTTGATTACTTGGAGTGGAGCAGTCATGGCTATGCTGCTGTGGTCAGTTCCTTCTGTGCCTTTAGATGTTGCTTACCATGCATTTGTCAATCCCATAACACATCCAGTCATACTCAGAGGCTTTCATATTTCATCACAAGGAACCCTGCAGTCAGTGGTTGAAAGGGATGTTTGAAGGTCTCCCCACCTTGAAGCAGGACTATTATCAGTGCTGCATTAAGTCATTCATGACCTGATTACTTTTCTGAAAACGATGAAGTATGGAGATTCAACAGCTTCTCTGCACAACCTGTTCTAATGCCATAGGCTTCTGATGAAAATACACCTTGTAAGGTCCAGCCTGAACCTCTTAAGCCTCAGTTTGTAGCTGTTCTCCTGCTTTATATAATTTTGTATTACTAGGAAGAGTTTGCAACACAGACATTTGTAAAGCCAAGTTTATTATCTGTAGAAATGAACAGGCAGCTATGCGATGCTGAAGTAGGCAGTTAAGTCATAGGTTTATCAATTACTGATTTATCCCCCCCCCCCCGCCCCCCTTTTTAAACAATACTCTATTAGAGAATGAAATTGCATAGAAAAGGTAAAGCTAGATTTTGTAGTGATGTGTCTTAATGTTACAGGCTTTTTTTTAATGTCTCTTTTTTATTTTTCAGTATTTAAGGAAAATAGCGGGGTAATTTTTGTAACATCTGGACTTTGTAGTTATCTTACATGTTTGGACAGAAAACCAAGTGAACCACAATAAATTAAAATATAAAGATTCTTTTTTTCAGTCTTTTTGGTGCTATATTTGTTCTATAAACTGACTGTTCTGAGGAAAGAAAATTCTTCTCATGACTTAAATTTGTTTACGTTTCCACTGACATTTTTATTGTCCACTCCTGAACCCTATTAAGAAGAATGACTACTTGGGCTACAGAGAAATAATTAACTTACATTTTTAAAGCATTATGTTGCTGTTATGTTTTCATTAATTATTTTTTTTTTTAAACAATCATGGAGTTTTCCAGAGGTTATATCCAAAGGACACTATTTTTGTTAAAAACTGGCTCTAGAATTCAGGAGGCAGGGGATTGATTATTTTTTTGTTCATTTTTGTAATCAAGGAGAAAAGTGACTTGTATTTGTTCTTCTTTGAAGTGTTAATGAAAGCAGTAAAGTCTTGAAGTCTGCTCTTGACTAAGACTTCTACTTGTGTCTGACTATTAAATGCATGACAGTGTTATCACTTCAAAGTTTATTCAGTGGTCAGCTGATATTTATCTGGTTTATAAATACTCTTTTTTTCTACTTAAGATCTTAGCCTTATTGAAAGATAAATGAGTTTGAGAAATTAATAATTTATTTTTGTTTTTACTCTGCAGTTATTTTTCAGCTACATTTTCACAGATCCCATTCTTTGCTATATCAAACAAATGTACAGCATTTTTATATCTTAATAGTAGTGGCGTTGTTTATTTTTGTCTTTCTGTTTTTTGTTTTGACACAATCCACTGATACTGTGTAGTATATAAATTCATCCTTTTAAAACTGTAAGTGAAATGTTTTGTGTATTTTACAAGAAAAATGAAACTGTGCACGTAATATTCTTTCGCACATTAGCGATTAATTCTGTTGACTGCCAACATTAGGAGGTGATACTAAATGCCTTGGTAGTCTATAGTATACACAAGGGCTGTTTTCTGTTGCAGTGCTCAGTGGCAGGTTTCATGCTGCTGTGCATTACATGTGCAAATATGACTGGCCTCAAATAAAGCAAATTAGAATACCATTCACTGGCTTGTCTGTGTGCTCATCACTAACCAGTATGTGGTAATGTGGCATAATTTCCTACTTAAAATCTTTGCTTTTGTAGTTTTAATTGAAGAATGAAGGAGTAGCTATTCATTTTATGTAACATGTAAAGGATTATCCATAAAAAATAGATACCTCGTCTTTCAACAAGTATGCAGACTGACTGGTCTTGCTGTACATAGGAGAGGGCTGCTGAGATGTGTAGAAAGAAATTATTCCTAAGTCCATAGCAAAGTTGTTATTCTAGACTGCTGGAAGGCAGCCATTTCAAGCTTTATTCGGCTTTTCCTGCCCTACATTTATTGGTGCGCTGGACCACAGGAAACTATGAAGGATATAATCTCTATCAAAAGCTAAAGATGTGTGTGAAATAAATAAGTTCCCAAGTCTTACTACTTTTTCTTGCAAAACCATATTCTCTATACTGTCTTACATCCTCTCTGACAAGTCAAGAGACAAAAGCCTCATTTACTTAAAATGCACACAATTAGTAGAGTGGCAGAAGTACTAGCATATACCACATCTCTGTAGCTCTTACATATATATGCATTGTTCAGTCTTTTATGTAATAAACTAGATAATAAAGGTTTGAGAAGACGTACTTACAGGGTGTACCTAAGACTATTAAGAGGTGTGTTCTGCAGCATTATGGCCACCATGGTTTTTTTAAGTATTGTATGCAGCCTTTTTAAATGTGTAACAAAAAAATTATATACATGCTAATTGTCCTTTCCTAATGTCTTTCATCTTCATTCAGCCCCTCCAGATTTATTAAAACATTAATTCTCCATGGAATATCATAAGTTTACACGTATCAGTTTGGAGAAGAGAACAATTTTTAGTTATGCATTTGAGTTAGAAACTTAAAGCTTTTACGTTGGAAAACTGCCCTCTGCTGCATAGTCTGTTCATAAATGACCGATTTGTAAAACTTTTCTTTTGAAAAGAGCTTTGTCAAGAACTTTGAATAAAATACAAAAACATAATGCAAAAGCTGTAGGTTTTTTTCCCTAAAAATTGTAGTAGATAATTTTTGCAAATACTGTATATTGTATCACTTATGTTAAATGAGCATGAGGTAAGAATTTCTGTAGAAATTTTATCTCTATTAAAAATGTACATATATGGTTGGTTTCCCTGACCTGAATGGAATACTACCTATGTTAGTTACCCATGAAATTTAAAACATATGGTGTGTTCATAGGATTCTGCTTCAGTTTTAAGCTTGACCTGTAAAAAGTGAAATTCCTTGCAGTATTGCTTTTTTAACTACAACATTATCTCTCTGTATTATTAAAAAAAAAAAGTAGAAGTATTAATGTCTCACATAGGTTAAGGATAGATGTAACTGTGAAACTTACTAATATTTTCTTCCAGTTATTTTCATCCTATGCTGTATTAATGTACCAAGGTTATTGTAGTGCTAATACAATATAACAGGATTCAGGTCTAATACAGTGATAAATAAGTGGTATTTATGTTTGCAGGGAAGATGGTACCACCGAAAGCAAGCAGTAAAGGAATTGCATGGTACGTTGGTACGACTGCTTAATGAACTGTTACCGTGGGAACCAAAGCTAATGAAAGCATTTCAAAGAAACAGGTAATTAGCTGCTGCTTTTTTAAGAATGGTGCATGGCATGGAAAACAGAACAAAATTCACCTTTTAAAAACTGATCAATAAGTTGGCTTCTGGCAGTGCTTTAGTTGGAAGAATTATTTTATGTTCCAGATTTACTGTCTCTAAATAAAGTTGACTTTAATCCCTAGTTTGTTGGGGTTTTTTTCCTGTAAAATGCTATAGATGCCTAAAGTGTGCCTATCAATAGTTTTATTGCAATCCAGCTAGGATTTGTACTGCTGTTTATTTGGTTAGGAAGTGCTGAAAACCTGCATTTGGAGAACTAGACCAGGGCTTCTTAGAGTCAGACTGCTTACCATCTAGAGCTACCTAAATTGGTTGTTAATAAATTCTCCACAAAGCAATTCTTAAAACATAGTTTTTTGAGGCCTTTGTAAACTTATAAATTTGAAATGCATCTGGAATAAGGTGTATCAGAAATATCAGTGAATTGGTGATTGATTCAAACCTAGTAAGGCCGAGTATTAGTAGCCGTGAAGATCCTACCCAGGTTATAAATCCTGGGGAGATTGGATGTTGATTTGGTATCGTCATTGTGTCTTGAAGCTCGATGCTGTTGGTGTCTGTTAGCCATACAGCTCTTGCTATAATCATGCCTTACTTTTGTCAGATAGACATTTAAGAAGCAGGTAGTGATTTGAAGCTTGAACTCTGTGTCAGTGATAGGTAAAATTAGACAGCTGCTTAAATGCTGGGTGTGAAGGAAGCAGCTTACACAGTTACGTGGTGGAGAACTAATTCTGAAAAGTATAAAAGGTATTATGTTTAAAAAAATTACCACCACAGTACCGAAGACAGTGAAGGTAGAACTACTAAGAGTTGGTTCCTTGGTAGCTTGTTTTATGGTTATCATGCATGAATTAAAATCCTTATTTGGAAATTTAGGATGTTGAACATTTTACTTTAAGTAATGAAACAAAGTACAAGTTTTGCTTTTTTCTGTTCAAGCTTCTGTTCATTTTCCTTAGCTTTTACTAGTCTGTAGTAATTCATAGTCCTTTAGGAAATATGACAGATAGTAATACTATTAGAAAGGATTTCAGTTTCCAGTGTATGTGGTTTCCAGTTTTATCCTTTATGTAAATTCTGCTGTGTAATGGTTTGGTGCCCAGTGTTAGTTCTTATGTGTTAAATGTGGCTATAGAACACAGAAGTAGAACTGTCATGTAAAGTGTGTAAAAGTTCTATATAAAAGGTATGCCTCATATGAGTAAACTTTAGTATTTCATATTCATATTTATCAGGATTTATGTTTTAGGTTGCAACCCTAGTTTATTCAGCAATGCTAGCCTAGGTATTTCCATGACATAACTGTTTAGGCAGACACGTAGTGTACCAGGGAACTGCTCCAGCTGAAAAACAATCATTACAAGTTGTGGGGAGGAGATAGTGGCGGCGAGGTCAATGTCTTGGTCTGATTTGTTATGCAGCTGCTACGCAGCTGTGTAGCACTGATGACAGCGGTGAAGAAAGGTGTCATGTGAAAAGGAAAAAACAGTTGAGTACAGAGTGCTTATGCTGGGCTAAGCAGCCCCACCACCATAAGTCTGGTGGCAGTTGCAGTGTCTGTCGGGTGTCTTAGGCATCTACTAATACCTGCTAATTGAATGACAGTGTTGGCCTTCTAGCTTGTCATGGGCTGGGCAGAGCTCCTTCCCTCTGTGCAAGAGCTCAGTATGGAATAAGAGTCTGGCATTCTCCTTCCTTCCTTTTTTGTTGTCTTTATTTAGTAGAAGCACGCTATGATCAAAACTCTTTTCCCCTCCTTCTGAAAGGTCTTCTGGTCTTGTCAAAATTATGGCAAGACTATAATGTTGAATGGTATTTCAGTAACAGCAAGGTTTAAAATGAAAGATTGCTTATGCCTGCTGATCAGTTATTCACTGTCTCCACAGCAGAATTTCCTCAAAGCAAAAAAGGAAATTCGCATCCAGAAGCTTCAGTACAGTAGTGATTCCCTAGTGTACCTCCACAGTTCTTCCACACCTAAACTTCAAGATCAAAAGCCTAATGACAGAGTTAAAGTATTGTCTACACTAGATCTTCATACAGACTCCAAGGTTTTCTTCTGTTAGTGAGTGTCAAAGTTGTGAATAAACTATTAGGTCTTACTAATCCTGAGCTGCCTCACTTGGGCCTCCATCCACCTCACATGCCCATGGGCCCGGGATCCCCATTCCAGGTAATTTTCCAGCCTTCAATCTCTGCTGTAGGAATGCCAGTTTCCAGCTCAACTACAACAGTTACCCTGGCTTGCTATGGGTCCTGCTGATCTGGACTGACCCTCAGACTGACCTTGGACCTGCATCATCACTGTGGACCTGCCCAAAAATCACTTGAAAGAGTGAATGAATATAATAAAACAGTCATGATCATATTTGACTCAGTCTTTTTGTCTGTTGTTAGAGGACATAATGGCACAGAATTCAGTTTTGGTAAGGGAAGGAACATTACTGTCACTTCACATTTTTTGGATTTTAGAGACTTGCAGAGCTACCCTGAAATTTTTTGAAACGCACAGGCAATTAATTCTACGTCAACTTTTTGTGCAGAAGCAAATACAAATATAAAAAAAAAGTTAGAATTGTTCTTTAGTAAAGTTAGTTCTGTTATTTTCAAGGTCTAGATTGAAGAAGGACTATGATGAATTTCAAAGACATCCAGACCATGATAAATTTACCAGAGAATTGTGGAGTAATGATGAAAGTGAAGTTGATTCTGGCAAAGATTCTTCTGCAGTAGTATTTGGTAAATCTTCAGAGTCTACAGAACATGTGGAAGTTCCCAGGAAAGATCACCCAGACAATAGTAAGTATTAACTAGGATTTGATAGCTTGAACTTGATTCAGGAGCTTAATTTTTTCATATGAGTTTGTGCCCTACTTCTTACCTTAGCTACTACTGTGATAATACTGAAATAGCTTGTGATGCATGTCTGACGGATGTAGACTGGAAGGGGGCAGACATGACCAAGATGAAAATTCTGATTAATTCCAGTTTTTACACTTTTGTGCTTAGCTATTTCTGTCATAACATAGTAGGCCTGCTTGGAATTTACATTTATGGTGGGTTGACCTTGGCTGTCTGCCAGATGCCCACCCCACCACTCTGTCACTCCCCTTCCTTAACAGGACAGGGAGAGAAAATAAGATGCGAAATCTCATGCATCAAGATACTGACAGGGAGATCACTCACCAGTTACTGTCACAGGCAAAATAGTCTTACATGGAGAAAATTAATTTTATGTATTGCCAATTAAAATTATACTAGGATGGTGAGAAACAAAGACAGATGCTAAAACACCTACATTTCCCCCCCACACCTCATCTCCACCTTCTTCCCAGGCTCAGCTTCATTCCCAATCCTTCTACCTTCCCCCTGTCAAGTGGCACTGGGAGAATGGGGATTGAGGATTGAGGTCAGTTCGTAACACTTCATCTCTGCTGTTCCTTCCTCACACTTTTGCCCTGCTCCAGTGTGGAGTCTCTCCCATGGGATGCAGTCCTTCACAAACTGCTCCTGCATGGGTCTTGTCCACTAGCTAGAGTCCTTCAAGATAAGACTGCTCCAGTGTGGGTCCCCTATAAGCCACAGTTCCTGTCAGGACACTATGCGCTCTCTGAGGGCTGCAGGTTCCTTCAGGGCATGTTCACTTGCTGTTGTGGCATGGGGTCTTCAACAGGCTGCAGTGTAGATACCTTCTTCAGCATGGGAGGTAGGTCATCCTGCTTCACCATGGTCTTTACAGGTTACAGGGGAATCCATTTCCAAAACCTCAGTGCATGGCATCTCTGCCTGCATCTTGAGTCCTCTTACCCACTTCATGCATCTCCTGCTTGCTGGCTGGTCTGCGTAAATGCTCAGTATGAAACATGTGGCACTCACACCCTTGTTCAACAGGCCCCCAAGCTCACAAGTCCACTCAGGCCCCAGCCCCCTCTGCTCACTGGCTAGTCTGGCTTGAAGTTTGCCAGTGAATACACACACGCTGCCTCCACGCGTGCTGGGGTTTGGGGAAGATACAAACACTCACCCACCAGGCTATGACCTCCTGCTCTGTCCTTGCAGCTCCTTTTTCCTCAGCACATCACTTCGTGAGTTTGTGTAGCCCTGCTGATTCCCTCATCCCTTCCAGCCCAGTGTGCGGGATTTCCCCTGGTTTACAGTCATAAGAGTTGCAAAATCCAGGTTGATCTCCCTGGAAGGGGCACCTGCAGTTTCTTGATAGTCCATCAATTGATGAGTTTGGTGAAATTGTTTCTTGTCCCTGCCTCCATGTTTATTTTGTTAGGTCTGTGTCTCCGTATGTATTTTTTTTCTGGCTTCCCCCTTTCTCCCCTCAGTTTTCTGGTTAACCAGGTCCTTGATGAAAGAACCTTGCTGGAATAAACATTCCCACACTCTCACATCCATTAGTGTGAATGACCAGGTTTGGTTTTCCTCACTGTCTGCCATGCTGGTCAGGTTTGTGTCTCTGTATGTTCTTGTTTATGATTTCCACCTTTCCTTATTATCCCCTTTTTTCCATTGAAGAAGGTCCTTGACCAGATGCCATTAAAGGAGCAGACACTCTCTTTCTGCATGTCTTTATGCTTGTAAGCTAGCATTTTGTTTTCAGTTAGACACTGTAAAATTGTTATATGGGGATATCAGTAGGAAACCTGTAAAACACAATTTCTGTTTTAATGTCCTTGCAGATGAAATGAAACTATTAGAGATGAATTTACCTGCAGGAAAAAACAGAATTCTGACAAAAGAATCAGAAATACAGAAGACACTGCCCAAATGTGTTAAACGACAGTCCAAGCAAAATAGTTGTCTGGATCAAAGCACTAATGAGCTTTCACCAAGGAAGAAAGCTAAGCTGAGCACTAATGAGGCTGTGGTCCAGAGTTCAGAAAGTAGCCTGCAGCCAGATAGTTGTTTGACTGAGCTGAAACACTTTGAAGGGTCAACTCTAGAATCACTTTCCTTGACAGATCCTGCTACATCAGGATCAAACTTTCTGAAAGGGACCAAACCGATCCAGGCCTTGCTTGCCAAGAATACTGGGAACAAAGTGACCTTAACAAGTCAACTGTCACCTCCCCTGGACATAAATGTATCTACTTCTGAAAAGCCAGTTTTATCATTGGAATCATCACTGATGAAATCAGCATTGCCCTGCCAGACCAGTTCAAAGACTCCTTTACAAATGGTATACAAAATGCCAAGTCGCCACTGTGTACCAATAGACCTTCATAACAGCTCTGTGAAAATTCAAATGCAACCTGTGATTGATCCTAAAACTGGAGAAAAAGTCATGCAGCAAGTTCTTATTTTACCTAAGAATTTTCTTATTCAGCAGAAGGAAAGAAAAATTGTGTCTGAGGACATTCAGTCACTACAACAAAAACCATCTGAACTGCACTGTACAACTGTACCAGAAATATCAAATGTTAGTATTTCTTTAACACCTGTTCTGGTAACAAGCCCAGCAAATGCTACCACTCAGTCACCTAATACAATTTGTAACAAGGATATTACCCACTTGTCACAAGTGACTGATTCTGTAAGCACTACACAGCCATTGCCTGCTGTAACTTCAGCAGGTAACTTACCGTCAACAGTTATGGTGAGCCAGACTGAAACTGACAAAATCAAGACTGCAGTTTCAGCTGCCACATTCCCTGTGTCTTTGACTTCACCTCCTCTTTCCACAGCTAGTCAGTCTTCAATGTCAGCAGCAGCATCAAGTGAGTCTACAAACACTGCTTCTGCCTGTCGTAATCGCACATCACAGCAGACGGCTGACTCCTTTGAAGCTAGGCAAGAGCTGAAGACAGTGTGTATAAGAGATTCACAATCTATTCTGGTCACAACACGAGGTGGAAACACAGGAATTGTTAAAGTACAAACAAACCCAGACCAGATTTCACCTAGTAGTTTATCATCTAGTTCAGTTTTCACTTATGCACCTCAACTTCAGGCCTTTCTTGTGCCAAAAACCACAGCATTATCATGGTCTACTCTTCCATCTGTTGAGTGTGTATAAGAGATTCACAATCTATTCTGGTCACAACACGAGGTGGAAACACAGGAATTGTTAAAGTACAAACAAACCCAGACCAGATTTCACCTAGTAGTTTATCATCTAGTTCAGTTTTCACTTATGCACCTCAACTTCAGGCCTTTCTTGTGCCAAAAACCACAGCATTATCATGGTCTCCCCTCCCATCTGTTGCACCAGCCACGTCTGGTCTCTCACATATTGGACAATCATCTCTTTCTGGATTTGCCCCCTCAATAACTGCTTCTGTTAACATTCCAGCTTTCCCAGCTGATTTTACCCAGGCAACAGAGAAGAATATCAAATTCACATTACAGCAGTCTGCTGTTGGGGGCACCTTGGGTCAGGTAATAGAGAACTCCTGGTATGTGTCCTCTCCCTCTTTATCCCCCATTTCATTAGCTAGCAGTTTGATGTCAGCCAGTCCGAGCAGTCCTGTTAATGTGACCAGCATTGGACAGAATAACACTGTCATAAATTCTGTGCAGCAACAAGGTGATGCTAAAACAAATCCTGTTATACAACCTGAGTCTCTATCAGCAGCAAGTGGAGATTTAATCAGTGGTGCTCCAGTCCAGAAAGTTACATTAGTCACAAATACACCTATTTTATCACCCTGTGGGGCATCTGGAGTCAGTATTGTACCCTCTCCAGCATCCACTGGTGTTAATACTCAGAAGTTGTTTTTCATTAACACACAAATTGCCAATGGCCTATCAACCACCAGTCTAGCTGCAGAGTCATTGAAACATAACCTTCCTTCTTCCCTAAGCAAAACCTTTGTTAGTACCACAGAACAACCACAGTTGGTTCTGATCCCTTCTACAGTAGGAGCACCAATAAGAAAAAACTCATCACCAACTATCGCTCAAGTAAAAGATGTGAAAATTGGGCTAAATATAGGTCAAACCATTTTAAATACTAAGGGCAATGCACAACAGGCTCCACCAGTCAACATGTTGCACTCAGCCATTTCTAAGGGAGAAGATAAAAAGAGCATGGGCTTGTCTCTGTCTTTGACAAGTTGTAGTACGTTGGTTCCTGTTCCAAGTTTTGAGAGTCCAAGTGCTGTGTCAGTTAATGAATCGTTATATGTTACAACAAAAGCTGAAGATGCCTCTACAGATACAACAGCAAATGCATGCATAGAATCTGCTTCAGTACCTTCAAGTGGGACTTCTGGGGCACAGCCCACTGTCTTGACTGGTGGAAATGATCCCTCAAGAATAACACCAATTCCAGGTAATCAGCTGTGTACATCAAATATTGGAAATACTGTTGGTATATCAACTGTGAAAACAGGACATCTTGCTTCATCTGTGCTGATTCCAACAACACAGGCAACAGTGTCTCCTCAAAACTTAGAATCTTCTTCGCAGTTTCCAGTCATTAGCTTGCCTGGATGTGTAGGCATCCCCCCCAACCTGTTGCATACAGTTCCTCAGTTGGCAGCAGTTCCAGCTCCTCCTCCACTACCAAGAAGCCAGTTGCCCACACTGCTTCGGTTTCAGTCATCAGGAGTTTTAGCCGCTAAGCCAAGTAATGCAGGTATTCACAAACCTCAGAGTATGATGCCCCCTCCATCACCAAATACAGGTAAAGTAATAAGTTTTCCCAGTTCTTCTTCCCTGCAGTGCCAGCAGATGTCTCCCAGTACAGAGAAACTAAGTAGTGCTTACATTTGTGCTTCTACCGTTCAGATGTCTGCAGCTTCACCAACTGTAACAAGCAAAGCAGGAGGTCAGTTGAATGAACCTTGCATTCAACAAAAAATAGTCATTAACACCTGTATGCCTTTGGCACCTGGAACTCAGATAATGATTAACGGCACTCGTTTTGTTGTTCCATCACAAGGCCTTGGAGCTGGCAGCCATGTTCTTTTTCCATCTTGTAATACAAAACAGACTCCTTCTCTGACTGTTAACCATGGTCAAGAGGCTCAAGGTATACCAATTGTTAATCCAATAACCTCAAAAATCATGCTGACAGCAAGTAATTCATTAAGTTGGCGAATATCAAAACTTCCTTTGAAAAGCTCTACAAAAATTGTGAACTCTTTTGGGTCTGCCAATGCTTTACCTATTGCACATGCAACACCCCAGATACTTAGTTCTCCAGATAGTTCATGTACTCCACAGTCTGGACCAGCACTGTCTGTGTCTTCGGTGATAAAATCTCCTGTTAATGTTGTAGCTACTTCTTCTATGGTTTCTGCTGTTCATCCTCCAAGCTCTCATTTACAAAGCAACACTTCAGTGTTTCACTTGGGCGCTTCTATTAAAAGACTGTTGGTCAGTCCAGAGGGAGCTGTTCTGAATGCTATAAATACTCCACCATCCAAAGTTTCTTCCTTGTCTTCATCACTGCCTCCTGTTGTGTCCACAAGTCCTACCACTATCTTCCCTGCATCTCAGTCATCTTGCCTTGATAAATCTGACAAGGCTGCATCCTGAATTTACTGCAAATGAGCCACTTTGAAATTTTTGGGGCATTCTTTTGACTTTGGAAGTTGTAACTATTGAATAATTTCTTACATTGTTTGAAACAGTTGATTTATTCAAAATTGCTTAAGATTACAGTTCTTTCCTGTTTACCTGTGAGGCTTAGAAGGAAGAAAAAATTATTTAGTTTGTCAGATGTTTTCAGAGTTCTATAGTAAAGAGGTCAGAAATGACCAATAAGTTTATTACTTAGTTTGGAGAAATCTAGCCTTTTGCACATGTTCTGTCTTACAGTATGGACTGTTTGCCAGTGTGTTTAGGACAGTATCTATCTCCTTTTTATTTGTCAAATTTATTTTTGCTTTGTTTCTGTAAAAAAAAATATTTATGCATTGTAAAAATGCAGCCTATGGTATAGAATTGTACATATTCATTAATTCCTAAAAATCTACTAAACTATATGTACAAAGAACTATGCTGTCTTATTTATGTTTTCTTTACATAATGTATAGTTTTTTTAAGTATTTTACTAACTTTGGACCAGTGTACTGTTTAGCAACTATGCAGAAGAATCTGCATATAATAAATAAAGTTGCTGTACTGATTTGTGTTGGCAGTAGTTTAAAAATGTGTATATCTGTTATGCTATGGCAGAATACATCTATATACGTCTTCTTACTTAATGCAGACGCATCTCAGCATTTGGAATATAGAAGAATGAAATTATTTAAACTCTCCTACTCTTCTTTGTGGTTTCATAGGAGCTGGAATGATCCTCCTGATACAGGGTAAGATAACTCTGTATCCATTCTCAATAAATGTTTGGTTATACTGCCTAAAATCTCCAGTGATGAGGTAAGATTAGAAATGGAGTGTTCATCAAAATAGAGAAGTTTTTTCTATCTTTTGACATTTAGCATATAAAGAAAGGGTGCCCATCTAGCAGCTCTTGTTTTATGGAAGATGATGATTTTAGAAGCATGGTTTTAAAATCTGAAGTCATAGTCTCTGTTTGTTACTTGGGAGATCCAGTCTTAGTCTTAACATCTTTGTATGTGTGGAATTTTTTTGCTGTTTTTCTTGGGTGTTTTTTTTAGAAAATAGAAGGGAAAATTTCAGAAGTTATCATGAATCTTAGTTGCCTTTTTAATAGCTATTACTTCAAAGGGGGATAAAAGCTTACATATCTGTATTTAGAAGCATTCTTAGAATGATTTTCATCAAGATTAATCTTAAGCTTTTGCTTCACATCCTGTCAAGTTTTCTCCTTCTCGTCCCCATTTGCTATATACAGTTTGGCAGTTTGGATCTTGGGTTGAAGAATAAGACTACAGCTTACTCCCTCTGTGTTAGCTGCACTTCATATTGTTCTGAAAAGTAATCTAGTAACCAGTTAACTCGAGAAAGTGGGGGGAAGAAAGGCTTGTTTCTTCCATAGATACCTTCCCGTTCTGCACTACCTAAAATATTTGAATGGGGAAAATGCTTCTTTCTGCATCAGCAATCTCCATCTTATCTCAGGCCTGGGACAGATGGAAGCTGCCAGTTTGGTGGTGAGAGAAGGTTTATTTTTGTTTTAGAAAAGGCTACCTGGTACACTTTTTTAAATGCTTATTAAAGGTGTTATGTAATCAATTTTGGAGACACCTAGTAGGAAGTGGTGTCAGAGTTTACAGTATTAAGTCTTTTTAAATCTGACTGCATTTTGCAGTTGAAGGCTGCAGGTAACTTTTCCAATAAAGGAAGATGGCAGAGTGGCAGTTTCTTCATGGACATTTTACATACTCTTAAAACCATATATACTATCAATGCATTTTATTTCTGTATCAGTGGTGGAACCTTGGGACTGACTTTCTTTGATTTTTCTTCTCTTACAATGGCTGTTTTTCCTTTATTTATGTTTGCTGTGGAGTGATTATCTACACTGCTGGAAAAATTAAGTCTAGGCTCTACTATTGCAGGCAGCCTGGATGAAGAAAAAAATCTTGCATGACATTTTTCTATGTGCTAATTAGTAAAAAAATTTATGCTATAATAAATTCTAATGAAAAGTTAGAAGAGCTTAATTGAGGAACGAGGAACTCAAGCTACTTACGTGAATGATTTCATATAAAATTTATGAATTAGTACAATAATATAATTGTTTTATAAGTATTTTATAGTTTGGCAGGCATAAACTTTGCAACACACAAATTTTGATTCAGTTTGGTTAAAATTTTCATGAGTATGATTCTCTACTGGACACATGTTCAGATGTCAAATCCTATTGGGGAAAAGCTTGAGACTGCTATGTATTGGGTTTGTGTAATTCATTATTTTGTAAAAAAAATCTAGTAATTTTTATGAATAAAATTCCTCTTACCATCACTCTTCTCTGATAATGTCAGTCAGAGTATGACTTGCTTTCAAATGAAAGTAAATATCTATGTTTTGTTCTCTGTAACAAATATGTAGTGCTATCTATAGCACAAAAAGAACTGTAAAAATGTAGGTTATATTCTCAGGTGCAATGACAAAGCAGAAGTACTTGCATCTTTACTTGAAGTTAAAAAGACATTTAATTACACATATAAATGAATATATATATAAAAATAAATCTTTGAAGAAAACATGTTCAGTTTTTCAGAGCTTGTAAAATGTCTTGGTTTTAGACCCCTTCAGATACTATATACAGATACTCAGATGCTATATTATATAAAAAACTTTGGGTTTATTAATGACTTTCAACATTTTGGATGATATGTTTGATATTTACCTAAACTGATACATTCTGTACACTAATTTTGCTTTGTTTTGAGTAGAAAATTACGTTCATTTTGCCTTACCGTTTACACCCATATGTGCATGTGCTGCCATTTTCTTCTAGGGATTCTGCCTCTACCATACTAGAAGCAGTTAAATTTTACAAGTATTAGGAGTCATAGAAGTACCTGTTCAAGCCAAGTATGTTTCTGACAAGTCATTCAAACCCACTCTGATTGTACTGCGTGACATAGCAAAGAGTACAGTGCAAAAAGTGAGGCAAAAATTCTCCTGATGATAAGTAAGAGAAAGTTATGCCTCATGTAAGTATCTCAGAAAATGACTAAAAGCTGACATTTTAAGAGTGTCCATAGCCTCATCACAGAGTTTGTTTCGTAGGTTTTGCTTGCATTTGTGGTAGCACAGAATTTTAGTAGCCCAAGTTAATTTTAAAATAAATTAAACATTTTTATTGATGTATGAATGTTTGTTAGGGTGAAGCTGCTTCCTTTAAAAAAAGGAGGAGGTACTCACAAAGGCTTAAATTCATGTAACCTGTTCTCTTCAGGCTGCCCCTGAAGTGAGTTTGCTGACTCAAAATTAGATTAGTAATGCTGTATCAGGCTGAAGGTCCAGCTGTCCCAGCATTATGTCTCTTGGAGCAGTCAACAGTAGCAGTCCAAAAGAGCATAACATCAGGCCCAAATACTCTCCTGATACCTACTCATCTGTGAGCCAGAGGTGTCCTCAGACAGCTGTGGGGGTCTTTCAGTCTAATAGCCTTCAGCGTATTTTTCTTGATGAAACTGACCAATCCTTTCTAGAATTCTTACTGAACATATGTAAACTATTAGCATCCACAGTGTCCTGTGCAAAAGCATTTTTCACATAGTGTTGTATAAATAAATCTGTTTCTGCTCCTGACACCTGCTGCTTTCGTTTGATGCAAATAGTGTTTATATTGTAGGATGCAATAAGCCTTTGCTCTTTACTCATTTTTCCATGTGTCCTGTGTTGACCTCTGCCATGTTGGTTGTCTCTTTCCTAGAATAAAGAGACTTAGTAAATTTAGTTATTTATATGAAAGTTGATGTTCTTACAGTATCTTATTAAAATCTCAGCAGAACTAAACACATTAAATGGAAATAGTATGTAAAAGCAAAGTAAAGGAAATTTATTACTTATAATGTTTATTGAAATGAAATTTATTACACAAAAAGTGTATTAAAATGTGCATAAATAAGATTTTCCACCTTTTGCAGATGAACACAATAAAGTACAGTGTTCTCATAGCAACATGGAAGAACTAGGAACAGAATCTGTGGTCCCTTGGCTCCTCTTCCAGCATCCCATCCATAACTAAAGGTTAGACAACTAGGTTACTGCTTTATTTTCTCCTATTCTTGCTTTTTAGAAAGAAGAAAAATAATTAGAAAATGAAATTGTTTTCAGGAATATGAGTGGCACTGACAGGCAGCATTTATAAAAAATACCAGAAGAAAATGAGATTGGAAAGGAACCACTATAACTGATTTTTGTGACTGTCTTCAGGCTTTAGAACTTTGCTTGTCAATATTGATGTCATAAAAATAAGACACTGCTTCTTTGATTAGTTGTTCATATTGATTCCTTCTAGTAAATGTAAGAGTGTAGGATCAGGCTATTTTGGCTATGTATAGGTTATGGGCACCTAGTCCTAGCATATACATTGAGATCCTGTCAACATAACTTGCTAGTATTTGTAGAATCATTCCTTACTCCGTTTTTTTAATTACGTGCAGCAGTAAAATGAATATCAAAGAGGGATTAGGGATTGGGTATTACTGTGTAGTCACAGGGTATCTTGGTTTAATAAGGAAAGAGTAGAATTATGATGGAATCAGTTTATGCGGCATAAAAAGCAGGTATTTTTAGAGTAATATTCCATTTCAGCTACTGGGGAAGAGGAATTGCTTACATCTATTTATAAAAGCAATGTTAATTCATATTAACAACATGCCAATACTAAAATTACTGTAGTTTGTTTGAGGCTTGTCTGGCCAGTATGCTACAGTTCAACTACATGTTATACCTTCAAAGTATTGTTCTTGCATGTAGAATGCATTTCCTCAAGGTGATCTTAGAAGAACTTTTGAAAGACAAACACAAAAACTGTGGGAGACTTGTCTTTAAATGTTTTCCTCTTTCCATGGCCTAAGAAATTGATGCAAGAACATAACCTTTTGTTAATAAACAGCCCATATTTGAAAGTGAGTTTCTGATTTTGGCACGTGGAATGCAAGTGTTACGGCTGGTACAGCAGTCCAGTCCTTGTATCAGCCACATCTTGGACTGGGCATTTACCTCATTATAGTGGCCAGTAGAGAATATTTAGTGGAAAGAACAAGAAATAAACCAAGTTTGAGTTAATTTTCCCCAGTATGCGTATGTAACCTCCAACAGTAGTTCTGGGAGAGTTGTATGAACTCAGGCTGGGCTTGTCTGTGACATGAAAGAACATACTTTGCAGCCAGAGAATTAGAGTATTGGGAAAAAGTGAGCAGTAATTCAGAGAAGCAGAGCAGAAAAAACAGTGGACATAAAAACATAAAATTCTTCTCCAGTTTAGGAAGTGGTAGGAGAGATGCATGAGTCCTCCTAAAAAGCAGTTTTGAATGAGGAATTGACTGTGAAATATTGTTGTTATCCTTCCTGTTAGAGAAGGCAAAACCAAAACACAAGAGGTGTAGAGCATGTGGACTGTGTATCCTGGGGATTACAAATGTAAAAAACACAGGCTTCGTAAACCTGTGTTGACACCAAAAATGTTCAGGAAGAGATTTCTGGAAATACAGAAAT